CAGTTAGGCTACTCAGGGGTCAGGGACCCACTTGAGCAGGGAGTCTGTCCCTTCTCAGATCTCAACCTCCGTGTTGGGAGATCCACTGCTCTCTTCAAAGCTGTCAGACAGAGTCGTTTGCGTCTGCGGAGGTTTCGGCTGTGTTTGTTATTGCCCTGTCCCCAGAGGTGGAGTCTACAGAGACAGGCAGGTTTCCTTGAGCTGCTGTGAGCTCCACCCAGTTCGAGCTTCCCAGCAGCTTTGTTTACCTACTTAAGCCTCAGCAATGGCAGGCGCCCCTCCCCCAGCCTTGCTGCTGCCTTGCCGGTAGATCACAGACTGCTGTGCTAGCAATGAGGGAGGCTCCGTGGGTGTGGGACCCTCCCGGCCAGGTGTGGGATATGATCTCCTGGTGTGCCTGTTTGCTTAAAGCGCAGTATTGGGGTGGGAGTTACCCGATTTTCCAGGTGTTGTGTGTCTCAGTTCCCCTGGCTAGGAAAAGGGATTCCCTTCCCCCTTGCGCTTCCCAGGTGAGGCAATGCCTCGCCCTGCTTCAGCTCTCGCTGGTCGGGCTGCAGCAGCTGACCAGCACCGATTGTCCGGCACTCCCCAGTGAGATGAACCCAGTACCTCAGTTGAAAATGCAGCAATCACCGGTCTTCTGTGTCGCTCGTGCTGGGAGTTGGAGACTGGAGCTGTTCCTATTCGGCCATCTTGCTCCGCCAAAAAGTACTCAATCATTTTCAAGCAACTGTATATGACAATTTTGGCTCCTATTTCCCATCATTACAGGATGCCTCAAAGGTTCATAAAACCATATAGAAATTATCAATTTACTTTTCAAAACTTGGTTTGCATTTTGGTCAATTATTGCAATTTTAATAACTTGTAATTTAAATCACCTAAAAACTTACATAATTTGAGGTAAACATTAAGCTGTCACATATCAACTCTACTACAACATGCCAGCAGTTTTATAATAAAAGATTATCTCAATAAGCTTGGAAATGTTCCCATAGCACCAAGCTAGAAGGCAATTTAAAATCAAATTAATATTCTGAAAAATAATCTCAAATCATGCAAATACTATAAATTAGTAATGAAGCTAAAATTATTAAGGTGGTTTATTATTTTGGATTCTCTTTCTGCATTCTTATTAAATCTTTATGGATACTTCCTCTTCTGATTTAATAAGACTATCTGAAAGAGCTAATATTAAATCCCACAAATGAAAATATTGATGAACACACTGTAAAACACAGTTCCCTGGTTTTGTTCTCGGGTAATTTAACTGTGTAATGACATTGCTAAATTCAATACAAATATATTTCAATACAAATATATTCTCCATAAAAGAAAACGCAACATCAAAAACAATCCCAAATGAGGAGCCTGCCCAGCTGGTAGGCTTGAAAATTTAAGAACTGATTAGTTCAATCTGGAATGTCTATATTTGCAGTGTGCAGCAAATCTGAGACAGGATTCCTTTTGTTTGTTTTCCTGGCAGTGGTAGAAGTACCATTCATATGTTTGAATAACTCAATAATTATGCCCTGAGGGAACTTAACCTAGATTTTTATTTTTCATGCTCCATATTTTCCCATTTTAGGAGTGGTTAGAAAACTCTCTTTCCACTTTTAAATGGTTGAATATAAACATATATATGCATATTAAAGAAGAATAATACAATAAAACATTTTATATTATGTTTATTTTCCCTGTTGTACCCTCTTACTTCCCATCATCTTTCCCTCAGACATAAGCACCAGCTTGAATTTTGTGTTAATCATTCCCTTTTTTTTTTTTACACTTTTTGCCATCAGTGCAGGTATTTTTAAATAGAATTTTTTCCATTTTTCCAGTTTTAAACTTTAGTTAAGTGGAATAATACTACAGCATTTTTTAATGACTTAATTCTTCTGCTCGAGATGTTTTTGACATTGATCCATGTTGATGTCAGTAGCTGAGGTCATTCATATTCCCAACTATATGGTATACCAAGGTATAAATATATCCCAGTTTATCCTGTGATGTATATTTGAATTAGCTAGAATTTGAGACTATTAAAAAACTATTTTTGCGTGTGACTTTTGCTACACGTGCACAAGTACTTCCCTTGTACATGTGTAAACATCTAGGAGAGGAAATGCTGGGTTGTAGGATATGCAGAAGTTAAACTTTATCAGGTAATGCCAAGTAAATTGCACCATTTACACTTGCATTAGTTATGGGTGAGATTTCCTGCTTCTCCAGATCCTCACAAACAGTGGCACTGTCAGACTTTCAAAGTTGTGTCAAACTAGTAGGGAGAAATACTATATGATAGTGTTATAAATTTATATTAATTTCATTACTGACAAAGTTAACTAGATACTTATTGATTACATGTGTCGCAAAAAATACTCTCCTAGTTTGTGGTTGTATTTTTATTTTTTAGTTCTTCTTAACAACAGGAAGGTTTTAATTTTAATGTTCGAACTTTTATTTTATGATTTGCAAATTTTTTGACCTGATGAGTTCACAAAAAAATCCTTCCCTACTTGTCAAAATTTTCTAATGATAAATTTATAGTTTTATAATATGAATTTTTACATTTACCTCCCCATACCAAGAATTGATTTGTATAAAGATGCATAAAGTACAAAAGCAATTTCAATTAGTTTTCTTCATGAATAGCCAATAGTCCCCCAAGCATTTATTGAATACCTTGTCCTTTTCACACTGATCAATGTCACTTTTATAATTTTTTTTTTTTTTTTTTTTGAGATGGAGTCTCGCTCTGTTACCCAGGCTGGAGTACAGTGGCGCATCTCAGTTCACCGCAACCTCTGCCTCCTGGGTTCAAGCAATTCTCTGCCTCAGCCTCCAGAGTAGCTGGGATTACAGACGCCCACCATCACACCCGGCTAATTTTGTGTATTTTTAGTACAGACAGGGTTTCACCATATTGGCCAGGCTGGTCTTGAACCCCTGACCTTGTGATCCACCCCCATCAGCCTCCCTAAGTGCTGGGATTACAGGCGTGAGCCACCGCACCCAGCCTGTCACTTTTATAATTTATCAATTACTCTTTTTCTCTGATGCCCTGCAGTCTCATTAAGATGGGTTTAGTTTTGGATTCCCATGACTTAACTGTTGCAGAATTCTTTGGAATTACTGTGTCTGGGTACTGATGGACATCTTTTAATAGTTCCTGAAAATAATTCTCTTTTTGTATTTAGTCTGTTACCTCCATTTGGAACCTCAATTGAATACATATTACATCTTTCCACTCTCTCCTCCCTGTCTCCCACATATTTTATATTTTACATTCTCTTATTCATATTTCCCATTTTTAAATATCTCAACTTAGTTATTGATAATTTCTTCAGTTCTTTTAGTGAACAAATTCTTGCTTCATCTATGTCTAATCTGCTTTTAAACTTACCCACTTTGTTCTCTCTTCTTTTCTTAAGCATTATGTTGATTGCTTAGAAGTTCTCTGGTTCCTTCCCAAGTCTTGTCCCTTTCTCACAGTTTTCAGCTTATCTTTTTATTTCTTATAGTTACGTTAAAAGTTGTCATTTTAATTCTGTCTGATAAGTGTGATATCTGAAAACATCCCAGATCTGTGTTTTTACATCTATAATTTCCCCTGGATCTTCCCCATAGTACTTTGTTTTCGTGTGTGTGTATGTGTGTGTGGCTTTTTTCTTTTGTTTTTGGTATTAGGTTATTACACATTTTAATAACCTTCATCTTCCAGGTGGGTTAAATGTAAAAACCCATACTATAAAACTGCAAATTTATCATTAGGAAATTAAGTTGGGAAGGATTTTTGTGAACTAGTCAGGTCAAAAATTTACAAATTATAAAATAAAATATGTTTCATTTAAAACATTAAAATTAAACCTTCCAGCTTATCAAGAACAACTAAAAGATAAAAATACAACCACAAACTAGAACCTTATTTTTTATAACACACAGAATCTGTGAAAATTATTTGAGGATAGGATTGAAGTTGGCATCTTCTGGGGGGAATAATATTTCCTAGATTCCTTCTATCATTGCTAACAACAGGGCTCTTAAGTTAAATTCGCCAATTACATTTTTTTTTCAGTATACACACATAGTGTAATTGTCATGTTTTTCCCTTTCCTATGAGCTCAGAGAAGTGCCTAATAGTTTTTTTTAAAACATTTTTTAATATATTTAACCCAATATTTTCATAATTTTAATCAGATGGATTGTTCAGGGTCCCCAATCTGCTATAATGCCAGAACTAGGATGGTACTCACATTTTTAGCCATTTCCATCCCCCGCCCCGTGTTTTCTTAACTCTTAGCTGGTGAGCTGTTATGAAAGGGTGGACTTGAATACAAGTTTACTTCTCCAAATATAAGATTTCTGATTTCGAAGTAATGACACTTCTGGGATCCATCATTAGGCTCTAGCAGAAATACGGTAGATGACCTAATTCATTCCCAGAGGTAGACCTCAGATTGCAGAAGACCATCAGAACCAAGAGTACAACACACCAGGATCTGGACTTTCCACTGTTTTTAAAGTTTTTACAGTTACTAGGCTGCAATCTTCAAACTCTGCCACAAGAAAAACTCCAGAAGTAACTCTGAGCTCTGAAGTTTCAGCTGTATATTACCTACAGGAAGTTGTGCAGGTCCTCCATTTTCTTGCTTTTTTTGTATTTTACTTCTTGGGTTACCTCTAAAACTCTGAATCTCACCATCATTCTTGCTTGGATTTGATGACCTGGTCACTGACAGTAAGTTCTTCCCTTGGGTCTTTTAGCTCTTTCTTTCCTCTACAGTAATTTGCCTTCCACAAACCTTTTCCTATCTTGGACCTATTCCATTTGTTCTTTTCCTGGATTTATGAGTTATCTCTAGTCACTCCTTGTCCTCCTTAAGCACCCAACTTGTCTAGATCTATAAATTACAAAAAGTAGAACTCAGAAGGGAGTTACTTGCCTCCTCCAGTTAATGGTGCACTTACTACTCAAACCAGATTGTTAGGAGGGTTACCTGAATTGGTCTTCCATCAGGTGTCAGCACCTCTTCCGAAAGTTCCATCATCTTCAAGGCCATCAGAGCAATGGGTTTAGCATGGCAGAGGCTTTTTCTGTGGAGCCCTGCTGCAACACAGTAGGCATCACCTATTGTTTCCACCTGCAGCAATCAGACAAATCAAATGCAAACGTATGATAATGAGCCCGAAGAGAAATGATTAGTTATCTGCAGTCACAAATGTTGCTGAAAAACATGTCGGCAAAACATCAATAAATTAAGCAATTAGACAACTGTGTATAATCACAGCAGAGTTTGCAAACAGCCACAGTCAAATACTGACATCTCACTCCAGGGTTGTTCATTAACACTATCGCTAGAGATGATCATTGAAATTAGGAACAACTATAATATAAAATAATTATCCCCCACGAAAATAGAACTGTCAGTATTTTGCCTAGATAATTTCCAAATGATCGCCTTTTCCAGAGCCATCTCTTCATCTCCTTCCAACTTTCAAGTATTCCTTTGGAAAGTATTTTTTTCCCCCAATTTTTCCACCTGAAGAAAATTGTTCCACACTTTTAGATATATCTGTAATTTCTCATCAGGTCTGTTCTTTCTTACTCTTAAAAATTGTAATGCCTAATGTTTCTTAAATATTCATACTGCATACCGTTAATTGTGTCAACCACTTTATGTACATGGTCCCATTTTATCTTCACAAATATCCTACATCAAAGAAACAAGTATTAGGCCAGGTGTGGTGGCTCACGCCTGTGAGTACTTTGGGAGGCCGAGGCAGCGGGTCACGAGGTCAGGAGATCGAGACCATCTTGGCCAACATGGTAAAACCCCATCTCTACTAAATATACAAAAATTAACTGGGCATAATGGTGCATGCCTGCCCAGCTACTAGGGAGGCTGAGGCAGGAGAACTGCTTGAACCCGCGAGGCGGAGGTTGCAGTGAGCCAAGATCACGCCACTGTACTCTAGCCTGGTGACAGAGTAAGACTTGGTCTCAAAAAAAAAAAAAAAAGTGGCACATATACACAACGGAATACTATTCAGCCATTAAAAAGATGAGTTCATGTCCTTTGCAGGGACATGGATGAAGCTGGAAACCATTGTTTTCAGCCAACTAACACAGGAACAGAAAAGCAAACACTGCATGTTCTCACTCATAAGCAGGAGTTGAACAATGAGAACACATCGACACAGGGAGAGGAACATCACATGCCGGGGCCTGTCAGGGGGTGGGGGACTAGGGGAGGGGTAGCATTAGGAGAAATACCTAATGTAGATGATGGTTGATGGGTGCAGCAAACCACCATGGCACGTGTATACCTATGTAACAAACCTGCATGTTCTGCACATGTATCCCAGAACTTAAAGTATAATTTTAAAAAAAGAAATAAGCATTAGTGATATTTGAAAGATGAAAAATTGACGTGCAGAGGCCCATCCATAACCACATAATTGAGAGTCAACAGACTGTATGGGTCTACTCTCTTCTAATTCTGTTGTCAGCATCCATTCTGAATGGCCATTGCTGTTGATAAATATTTTAAATATTTACCCCATTTCCACAGCATAGAACATGGAATAAAAGTTCTAGTACTTTAGATAAAAGCTCTCTAATTATCCACAATAGAGATGGTGGTTTAATGGCAAAAACTGCAATTACTTTTGCACCAACCTAATAAAATCCTCAATAGTTTTAATATTATTAATTAGGCTGAAGTGATGAAAAATTGTACTAAATGCACAATTCCAGTGTCACTTTTTCTGTGATGTGCTCCATGTTCCTTCCTTTAGTTTTTATCAAATTATTTCTCAAAGAACTAATCCTTTCTTTATTCTGCTTTGACAGCACTTCCACATATCTCTGCTTTAACATTCAGCACAAGCTATAATCAATATGTATCTATATAAAGTCAGTACGTATCCCTGGCTACGATGTGAGCTTTTAAGAAATGGGACTATGTTTTTTTCATCTCTGTATTCACAGAACTTAGCATAATGTCTATGATATAGCTATTTATTAAATAATATTTATTGAATATTTGCTAAATGAATAAATAAGTCAATCAACCATGCTAACCATAATTACAGTAAGTAATTTTCACTCTTGGCTTATTTTCATCATTCATTTTATGAGCGCCACCTAGATCTGTGTGCTATGTAGATCTGTATAGGAAAATGCATCAGTGATGGAGATGCTTCCAGCATAAATATACCAAGAATTATAAAATATTCTATTATTTTTAATATCAAAATTAAATTTCCATGTAAAAGCATTCCAACACTACAATATTAAAAAGATATACTGCATGAAATTATATGAGCACTAATTTAGGGAATATTATGAGAATACTTAAGAAGCTCATGGGACCAACACTGCAAAACTTATCACTTGATCATCAGGAAATATGCATCAAAACTGATTCAAATACCCCCAGAACTATCATTATATTCAAAAATTTCACTTTAAGACCTGTTTTCTGATGCCAGAAAAATGAAAATAAAATTATACTGTAAGAATAGAAAGACAATGCAGTATGAGTTGGCAAAAGTTTTATTCCAAAGACTAAAATATACTTCCTGGAAATAATTCTCACTAAGGAAGACACCCATCAAAGAATAAACATCTAAAATGTGGCTATTTACTATTTTTCCCCTAATAAGACAATGTTCTTTGCTAATCCTCATATTATCCCACCCTTTCATATTTATTTCTGGTTTTCAGATACCAGAACATATAGTCAGTAAATTGCCTGCACAAATCAAAATGCTTTGCAGTCGCTCTGAACATGCAAGTTCCTAGAGCACAATCACTTCCTGAAATGTCTATCATCATCATCGTCATCCTCATCAACATCTCAATTATCTTTTCAGAAAAAGATGCACTGAATTCCATTAAATGTGTATTCTAGAATTTGCACAAGAATACACAGAGATTAGTTATATGTTGCATTTTCTCCTTAAAAAGTTGGACCAATATGTTACCAACTGATATAACATATAAATGAATGAAGTACAAAATAAATATGGGCACAATGTAAATATAGCAAATTCATATTACAATTCATACATGATTGTATAAAACTTTAAGACTAGGCATGGTGGCTGACACCTGGAATCCCAACATTTTGGGAGACCAAGGCAGGAGGGCTGCTTGAGTCCCGGAGTTCAAGACCAGCCTGGGCAACATAGTGAGACCTCAATCTCCTCTACAAAAAAATAAAAAATAAAATTATCCAGGTAAAGTGCCCCTTACCTATAGTCCCAGCTACTTGGGATCGCTAGAGCCCAGGAGATCAAGGCTGCAGAGGAAAAAAGGTTCTGACTAATTGTACAGGAACTCTTAAAGCTTCCTCCCAGATGTGACATATATATCTTCTTTTCATGATTTATTGACCAGAGCAAGTTACATGGTTATGCTTAACATATTGTGCACAGAAGAGAAGAGTCAGAAATATTTAGTAGACAGCATTAATGAAGACATGAATGAATAAATAATCACACATTCTCTAATATCAAAATGTCTGGAAAGGTTAAGTAATTGGCATATACATTAAGTAAAGTCTAATATATCTTTGTGATTTTTTTTTTCTTTCCAGATATATTCAGCCCCTGAAGAATACTGGCAGAAACACAACTGTCTTAATGCAGCTTTCCAGGAATGCTCCATTTTTTTCTCTCTTCTTCCTTTCTCTAAGGCAGCTCTATACGAGTTTAGCAAAATTAAATATATGTGGAAGTGTTAGTAGATTCCTTCGAAGTAATTAGTGGGTTTTGCTTCATGAGGAGCAGGAAAAGTGAAAGTGACATGTATCAATTCCATTGCTCCTGAGTTTATTTCCTTGAGCTAAACCAAAATGAAACAAGGGGGCATTGTAAATAGACTACAAAAACAAAAAACCAAAAACCTGTCCAAAAAGTTGACTTTGTTCTGAATTCCTTTATAATTGCCTCAGTGTTTTTATACAGTTTTAAATACAACAGACACAGTTTAAAATAGTGCATTTCATTTATTTTCACCATCTCCCACCTGTTCGTGAATGGCACTGGATAAGAATAAAGATGGCTAAACTGAGCATGGAGATGGGGAAAAGATAATGCTTATGCAAATGTCTGAAAAACTTACATTATTTTCTAAACATAGAAGAGGAGGCTTAAGTACTAAAAATATATACAACTGCTCCCTTACATATTACTATAGCTGCTTTTATAAAACTTTAAAGAATTTGCCTATCTCAGTTTATATTTTCTCAAAACTTTAGAATCAAAGTCCTTACATTATTCCAGAAATAAAGGTGGTATAAATAAATATATTAGAGTTATGCATTCACCTTGTTTTTTGTTTGATTTTTAAGACAGGGTCTCACTCTGCCACCCAGACTGGAGTACAGTGGCATGATCTGGGCTCTCTGCAACCTCTCCGTCCCAGGCTCAAGCAATCCTCCCACCTCAGCCTCCCATGTAGCTGGGACTACAGGCACATGTCACCATGCCTGGCTATTTTTTTTTTTTTTAATTTTTTTAGAGACAGGGTTTCGCCATGTTGCCCAGGTTAGTCTCGAACTCCTGGACTCAAGATATTTGCCCACCTTAGCCTCTCAAAGTGCTGGGATTACAGGCATGAGCCCCTGCGTCCATCCCATTTACCTAGTTTGTTTATTTTAGTTTTAGATCATTTAAAAGAATTTCTTTTAGTTACTAATAGAATTTCATTCCCATAACAGTTTTCTCCTTGCCCTCTAGGTTAATACTCAAGAAATATCTGGGAATTTCTTGGATATTTGGGCACAGATGGAAGAAAGGAGTGGGGGTGAGGGGGTCGGTATTGAGGATAAGATTAGCCAAAAGAACAATGTACACAATTAGGCAATTAACCATCCCTGTTCCATGGGACTCGTGACCACCTCAGTCCTTCAATCGCACAGTCTTAGATCTGTCCCTCTTTGAATTTTCTATGGGGCATAAGAGCAGAGGGTCAGAGAGCTCTGGTAATCTACTTTACTGAACAATCTTCCCTGGATACAATCAAGAGAAGCAGCAAATTAGAAAGTCTGCTTTCCAGCCATTTTGTGTTCCAGGGGACTCTAGTTCCTTAAAAAGAGACAGGGAGAGAAGAGATATTGGAATGAGATGTAGG